GTGCGGATGTGAACATACTATGGAGCCCTTGGTAGACGGCATTTGATTCGATGGCTCGAGGACCAACTGTCCAGCACTAGTCTGGCACCAGGCAGAAATATATTACTAATAAAGACAAAGGAGACTGAAATTGCCCTTCCTCACCAATAAGCCGTCACCAGGACGCGATACCGAACCTCAGGCGTTGCCGCACGTCAGGCTATTCACGGGCCGTCGCATAGCGACTTACATTATAAGAGTGTTACACTCAATAAGAATAAGTTCGGGGGGTTTTGAATCGTGGTTTATTCGCACGTTCGATTGGGTACGACCGGCTGATGACGGCTCATAAGTCAGCAATTATCATTCCCGTCTGCCTTGTCCTCTGACAGCTAACAATTTCACGATTTACGTATTTTTTAGATGCGGTATGAAAAATAACAGAACCAAAAGAGCGCCAATCTAAAAAGTTGTGGAGAGAGGGAGAGAAAAGGCACTTACGATATTCAGTCTCAGGCCATAGAAATACGCCAGCAGAATGGATTGCAGATCCACGTCCATTGGGTAGGCCACGAAGGCCTCAGGCAGCCAAACTCCGGCCCACTGTGTATTTGGCAGGGAAACCAAATCCTCAAATGAGAGACATCTATCCGCCTGAGTGGTATTCACAGCAGCTGCAAAGAGTTCCCCTTCAGAACGACAGGTCCGTAGGTGTGCATCTATTAATGAGGAATTGGCAATTTTCCCGCTGCCCTCCTCCAATTGACACAGTTCAAGGCTATCATGTTGGCAGGCTGGGTAAACGGTCCCGGTGGGCTTGATGCCGCTGGAATTGTCCTCTAGGAGAGGATATTGTAGTGCCCATTGGCCAAAAAACTGACTGACGAAAAGGTACACGAAAAATTAAGTCTTGTACTTGTTTGATAGCAAATTACACTTTCTTTAAATTTTATACTAAAAGGAAGGGTAGCTTTCTGTTTTAAAAAAGTTGCTTAAAAGACGATTAGTTTTCTAACCTCACTTCTACTCTCGATATCAAGCTTTAAAAACTGCGCACTGTGTACATCCTGTTTGAGGAAAAGTACGCTTTTGCCTA